TTACAAACTATAAACGTTTCCTTCTCTGTGTTATATTCAGAGTACACATCCATTAGTTTATTTGATGTGTGACATACTTTTATAACATACCACTTTACAATAAATAAATGTTTTTCAAATTAAAGCACATATTTATTTTGAAAATGACTCAGAACATTTTATTAAGGATAAAGGAAGCAGACAATAACCTTGTGTTCTTCTGTGATGTTAGTGTTGGATGAAGGGAGCAGTATCCTGTCGGCAAAGGATCAAATGCAAACACATGACACTACAGAATGAAGTGAATGTGAGCCTTTAATGGCTCATGCAAACAGGAAGAGTGGATAATAAAAGCCAGAAGAGTCAAGAAAGGAGTAATTAAAAAGAAAACACAGCATGAAACATCACAGCAACACTGATGAGGCTACTTCTTCTAAATACTAAAAATGTCTTTCTTACATAAGTGGAAGTAAAAGGATATTGAACGTAGTCTGTGGGCAGTTGGCAAACTTTTGCAGACAAGTCTGTGTTTTCTACGCAAACTGCAGCGAGCTCGTCAGCCTGCAGACACCAAAGCGAGGGAGCTTTTCAGTGCAGCACCAATTTCACCAGAAGAGTGCCAGTGAAGGAATCCACATTCTTCCATAGTGACCAGTGGTTACCAAGAAGTCATAAGCTGATGTCGAGGCCTGTTTGACTGCAGTGTAAATGATCCACATTCCAGTGTTACACTGTGCGTTTTTAAAATGTTGCCTCACTGCCTTCCCTGGTGGGTGCTCTATCTCTACACATTTCAGAATAATTAATGAAGATATTTGTTAGTAAGGTGTGTTTACAGATTTAAGTCTTCAGCAGAAAACTGAGCTGATGGTGGCTCACATTAGCTGATTAATTCATGTGGCTGTAGGATGAGCTCTTTGGAGGTCCTGCTGAACTCCTTCATTTGCAGCCGTCCCTCCTTCACCTGCACAAACACCCTGATTAGAGTCAAGCAGCTCAGTGTTCTTCTGTCTGCTGGATTTCTGCCCCCTGCTGGCCTGGAGACAGATGACAACAGAGAGATCAGAGTGACAGCATCACAGGCTGAGGGCTTCATTCTCAGATACAAACACGTGTTCAGTACCTGACAGTAGAAATAAAGGGCAGTGATCACCAGCAGCAGAGTCAGCGGTAGGATGAGCATTGTGATGAGAACTGTGAAATCTGTTGGAGCTGATAAAAACACATTCATCTTTGTATTAAAGTGAAAATAGTAGGATAAAAAGGAGAAACAAGAACGTAATAGTGTGGTAATTTCTAAGTTATTACCATTCAATTAATGTTGGTAGTTTCTTCTTGATGCATTCTCAATCATCCAGGAAAGTAAATCTCCAAAAAGTTGATTCTGTTCATCTGGACGTAGCGTTTT